GCAAGGCCTCTACCTGTATACAAACACAGAAAAACGCACACACACAAACTAAACATCCATGCCCTGAGTGGGATTCGAACCCACAATCCCAGTTTCCAAGCGAGCGAAGACAGTACATGCCTTAGACTGCTCGGCTGCAATGACCGGCTACTGCATTATACAGAGGATGTAATATTAGACAGGCTGACTAAGACATCTCAAGAAAAGTGTCAGAAAATATAACTATCACCTTTGAACATATGTGAAAATCACAGAGTGGCTAGTCTGCTTGTGAAAACACAGGACAATTCTAGAAATATTACATGCATAAACGCATAAAATTCAGTACTAACTTCAAGCAAAATAGTCTTGAGTCTGGCCTTAGTATGGATGACTGGTGTGGATGTATGCCAAAACAGATACGGAACAGCTCATGCTGCGAATTGCAAGTGAGTTAATTGTAAGACATAATGAGAGGATAGAGCAGTGACAATGCAGTGGACAAAGACAGGCTGTGAGCAAGAACTTGAGTAGCTACTGACAGTGAGACATTAACTGTTCCAACCCAAGATAAATGTCACAGTATGTCATAAGTTTATATCCTGTACCTTGGTCGCGAAGTTACAAAGAAGATGATAGGTACCATTATGTATATGTAAATAATGAGGCAAATTATAAGGATAGTAAATACTGCAGCATGGAACTTTGAAGAAATTAAGGAATCATTCACACTCCTGTTATTGTAACTGCCAAAAGTGGAAGAAGATTGATTCCACATTAAGTAAGATTAGAGTACATGCTGGAAAGTATATAAATCTCTCTTATCAAAATTACACTCCATAGTTTAAAATCTCTGAAAAATATCTATATTCTCTATTTTAACTTTCACGAATTCTCTGCAAATATATTAAGCTATAGTTCATCAGCCATGTTGAAAATTGCAACACTTTTGCTCTACTACTTTATTTTATTTTATTTAATATTAATATTTATATATTCATTCTAGCTTTGAATATTAAAAAGCATTAAATATCAGCATGAGATTCACATTAAAATGTCAACAAGTGTATAAAATTACTGGCACCAAATAATAAAAATCTGAATTAGTCAAAAAATAATTTTGAGAACCTTCTGAACAACACACTTATTCCATGCCGCATAACCAAATGTTTGGTCAACAATCTTATTTAAATATATTACTTTTAGATACCACTATAAATTCGGTATTTCTATCTGTAGGAATTTAATGCTTAAAATCCTTTCTTTAAATTAAAATTTTTGACAGCCATTGTTTCATGAAGATCACAATTTATTTTATGGAAGTAACAGATATAAGTAAACATAATTCAAAACAATATAAAAATAATTCCCATGATCTGGAAACTTCAGCAAGTAATAAAAGGTATTCAGCTTTGCTTTTGTTGACACATCTCCCATTGGTCAATATTCCACTTAAAATACCAGTAGGGTCATAGAGCAATATTACATGTTCTAGCTGGAGTTTTCCTTCATTTTGAGGCTACAGCCAATAAGGGGCAGGATGGTTCTTGTTGTGGGGAACCTTCTCAAGCAGGGATCTGGCATGTTCTAGATGATGTCCATTGTGTTCAGCTCAGATGACTTTGTATTTCCATTCTTGCGCTTGTTGTTAACATTCTCATTATTTTGCTTCCTGTCCAATACTGGTAGAGCATCCAATCTTGCTGGCCGTCTCATACTGTGTTCTGGTGAAGAGTTCAATTTATTTCCTAAAAATAATATATTTAGAACTGAATTTCAAACAAATCCGATATTTACTCTTACTAATGACATCTGCAACTTTACATTCATATAGTGGACTCTTTAAAGTAAAAAAGCAGTAGGCCAGTTAACCAAAACATCATTCAGAGAAAACAACAGATGCAAGACTTTAAAAGGCACCATGTAACAAATAACTGGGCACTCATAATCACAGTTTGCATGATATGTTAACATGCCAAGGCTCTGTTCTGATCCACCAGGAGCTACCAAACAACATGTATTGGGACTTTATGTATTTTGATATTTTTTCATGACTGTCAGCACACCCTGACAGCTATACATATTTTACACAGCTCAACGAAAGCTTCTGTCTTCCATTGTAAACTACTTTCGCCTTATATGTTAGGTGTACGTCGGATGTTCAGGCATTAAGAACTTTCATTTTTGTAGTCAAAATATGGACTTAGAAGTTCGTTACAAGTAATGTTAAACGTGACTTCAATTTAGTTCATACAAGAAATTTCTGTTAGAATAGGCAGTGTTCTGGCCAAGATACAAAACATCAAGCTCCCAAATCATTTAATTAAAGTTGGAGATTTATATGAGATAATCATTACTATTCTAAGTGAAAGTATGTCACGCTCTCCAAAATTATACTTAATTTAAGCTGGGGACATGATATTGACAGGAAATGTGGTCACTGCAATTTCACAATTATGGGTGCCAGAGTTATGTTCTAGCTCTCTTGTCAATGCCTGCTACTCTCTGCTGTGAACAAAGCACCGCAATGTTGTGGTGACTATGTATTCGTTGTGAAAATTGCTTGAAGTGAGACAATACAGCGGAGGCCATCTGTTCAGATGTTTAACCTGTTTAGCATGCAGTAACGAAATTTTCTTTTGGGGATCTATGTTAGGTAAATTCAATTTTGGTTTGTACTAGTCCATTATAATTCTTACTTTCGTATGACACTAAAAAAAAATGTTATGATTTTCTTAAAACTTATTATATAATTATGTGGAAACTTCTTACTTAGTGCCAAACAGTATCTCATTAAGACCAAGAATAATTTCAGATAATTTTAGTATGGTAAATATTTAAAGAACAAAAGGAAAACAAATTCTGATTCAATGCAATGCGGTGTGTATAATGTGATTATCTCCAGAACTACAGACTTCACTCTGCAATGAATGAACACAGAGGCTAATGGAAGATAATTAGTAACACATTAAAAGTAAATGTACGCCATTGGAACAGGATGGGAAGGTCTGGATTGACTCATCTGGCTCTGGACTAATGGGCTCTTGTGAACATGGTATGAAGCTTCACACTCCAAAGAACATTGGAATTCCTTGACTGGCTTCTCATGGAGGGCTCTGCTCCATGGAGTTATTTTAATAATGAGTTAGTTATGCATATACTCTTAACTAATTTTACTTTCTGTTTGCAAGACAATTGTCCCATGCAGGTATTGTGATTATGACTGTCTATGATTCTCTGAAGACAAATATCGAAACAGTTGTTCATGAACTGGCAACAAGTATCACGCTCCAATCTGTACAATTCACAGTCCATTGTCACCTCAACAATACCTCGTATCCATACAATTAGATGCAAAATTGCAGAATGTTAAGCTACATAATAAATAAACTTCTATGCAAATATGGCACTCATGTAGACATGATCAAGAAATTTCATAATGAAATCATCTTCCAGAGATATTTTTGGAGAGTCAGTAAATTAATTTATATTTATTTTGTCTAATACATAATCCCCACCATAAAGAAATTATTCATGTATTTGCTGAAGCATAAAATTGACCAGTACTGGTTTTATAATTCATCAATATATAACTGACTGATTTCACAATGTATATGCAAAGTACACAATAATGCTGTATTTTTCATTAGTTGATTTAGCAACTCAAGCAATTAGAATGAACTTGTAACCTGACAGACAAAAACTGCTTGCCACATTAAATCAGATTTTGACTGCAACATCAGCAAATTCCCACCACATGTTTTCACTCATAAAATAAATAGGGGAAAGGTAATAGACGCCTTGATGTCACTTTCCCTATGGAGCATCTGTTCAGTATAGATAAAGACTGTTCTAAATTCTTCAAGATATGAAAACACAAATCTCATTCTAGATATCCATGCATGAGTCAGTCCGTGAGTTTAGCATGGTGATGAATGGGATGGAAAAACTTAACAGAGTAATTTGACTCCACTGCTTCTTCTGAAATAACAGTTCCTCAGCCTAGATATTAACACTGACCTAACCAACTATTACCATGAGTTGTAGTCAGTCCATTACCATTTGGACTGGAACTCCAAGAGCTGTTGAGAATATTGTTCCCATTCACTGCTGAAATGGATGAATTTAGATTCAGAGCATTCAGTGAGGAGTGTAAACCATTCTGTGATTGGCTTATGTTTAGAATATTGTTCAGACCATTTGTGCCGTTGTTTCCTTTATGACGATTTGTGTACTCTGGAAATCAAATATAATTAATCAGAGCTAATCTACAAAGCAATAAATTGCAAAAAGGACCCAGCAATACTCCTTCCTCAGTTCTGACAAAATAAAAAAAATTTAGCAGATACCAAAATCAAACTACTCTAACGTTCTAGTTTATTTTCTGTTTTATTTCCAACGCAGTAATATACCTAACCCCATGGAGTTGAGTCCTTCTTAATTCTGAATGCAAGAAAAGATATTATGAATTTTCTCTTTTGTAAACAATAACTACCATACATTTCATGCAATATTAAATTAGAACACTGCAATTTGTATTGAATCAAATATAAGAATAATCTTCACTCTCTTTGATTTGCTGACCCCTACCTTGGGAAAGTAGAGGACAAAACAAAAACTGCTTCAGTGTCCCTTCAGCTACTGAACTACTATGCAATTTGAACTCTTTTGTAGTCATGATGCATCTATTTTCATCTAATATAATGCAGGCAGACAAACCATGACACAAATATTTGTTGATCAGGAATAAATGATTTCCCATTCTTTCTTAGACACACAGATAAAAGTAGCATTCCGCACACGAAACACAATAGAAAACATACTCAAACAAAAACCACAATTAGATAAATAGAATAAATAGAATAAATAGAAGAACCGGCCTCCCCATTGAGAGTGAATGTGCGACAGAATGAAAGTGATGGATGAATGGGACGCGACTGGATCTTCTGCCGGGCTGAAAGGAAACCACCCGAGACGAGTTGATCTTAAGAAGGGAGCCGTTGTAACAGCCGGAGACCAGATGCTGCAAGAACAGCTATGGGACGGAAAAGGAACGGGGGTGCACCGTTAGGCTATTCGGGACGAACAGCCTTAAGGAGGGAGCAGTGTAACATGTTGCGCGACTGNATAGCTGCAGTGCTTGCCTGTGGCGTAATGAGTGCCACGTCACAGTAGGACGTTGATTACGGTTGCGTTAGCGTTGCGCGTTACGTCACCGCGTGACGTCACCGCGGAGGGGAGTGGCGGGGAGCGCTACGTTACCGTGGAGAGGAGGGGGGAAGGGGGGTTCTCAGTCGCGCAACATGTTACAATACAATAAAAGTGGCATATACCAAATGAAATGTGCAGATTGCCAATTAAAATACATTGGACAAATGGGCCGAACATTTAACGCTAGATATAAAGAACATATACAGGATATTAGAAATAATAATAGCAATTCCGGGTACTCAAATCACATACTAAATATGGGACATGCATACAGAACAATAACAGACGTAATGGAAGTTGTAACAACGGGAAAGAAGGGCAGACATTTAAATACATTAGAGAAATACCATATAATATAAAATAAGTAAGAAATGACACACACATAGAAACACACAATCCCATATTTCAAACAATACAAGAGATCTATACCGACTAACAGTACCCCCCCTCCCCACTACCCATTCCCCTCCTACACTCACCAACATAAAAACACAGCACACAACACACCAGACAGCAAACGTATTAAAGATAAACAGCGGCACGCACACAGGGAGCCCACACAGAGTAAGTATACATAACAGTATAAAACATATAGGAATAACGTAAGAACAGGAGATAGTAATACAAATATTTGTGTATTACAGATAATACATGAACGGTGCCGAAAGCAAGAAGTAGCCGCTGCAGCACATGTAGACACAGAGCAGGTATCCCTGTGATTTAAATTAAAAAAAAAAAAATTAATATTAAATTTAAATCAAATCAACGAGTGTATATTAACAAAGATTTTAAACATAACTGACAAAATCAGCAAAGGGGATTCTGGTATATCGGGACCGACTGAAACGCAGCACTGACAATTGAGAAAGCTGGTGTTCTTAAATTTTAAAATTACATGCAGTGTAACAGCTATGTAAGTGAAATACACCTGATGATGGCCAGTTACAGCCGAAACATGTAGTGTTAAAGAAGAAAGACAAAGAACTACAATAAATTGTTGCATTTATGATGGTATTTACATTATACATAGAGAGTTCTTAGATAAACTGATCAAAATGAAGAACCCTGTCAAGTTCTGTCAGTTGTGGCTACATTTTACAATTTGCGGTCTTATATTGTTTAATAGTAGATAGAACCAATTTCCATGCTGTAAGTGTATAACATGTTGCTTCTTTCAAATTTATCAAAAAGACTGCGATTTTGTAATTAGTTTCATTCCACACTGAAAGGTCTAATGCACAAAGATATAACTGTCTTCTTTCTTTAAGAGATTTTAAGTAAATAAAGCAAATCTTTCATTATATTCTCTAGTTTACTTAATATATTATGTTCTGCAAAGTAATGCATTCCACAGTAAGCCATAAAATAAGTTCAGCACTAAAGTGGTTATCACAGTAGTTTCTACAACAGAGTCATCATCATTTAGCGTTTTTACTTAACTTGATTATAGAACCTAACAGTAAATTGCTGGCATAGTGAGTAAGGGTACTGAAATACATTTCATATTTCTGAAATACGTGTATAACTACAGTAATGAAATTAAGTGATAATTAAGTTTATTTCATTATCTGTATCTTTCCAACATTATCAGTGGCAATGACTATACTTTCCATCCCAACAAAATTTTACTCCACTGTTGTAATGAAACATAAGAAATAAACTCACTTTTTGTTCCATACCTCTCCCACTCAAATGAGATGAGTAGTACAAATTTATAAACGTAAATGTTAAAAGTACACAAAAGAGCATGCAGATTTCAGAGGCATGCCCAAAAACTTAAATATTTACCCTTCCACGTACTGAAAGCTCTGCTGGCATCTTCTTTGGCTCTATTTAACAACTCAACAGCTCGTTTTGGCTTGAAATAGTTTCCAGCAATGTCTTCCTGTTCACTCTTCTGTAGCTTCTGCCAACAAAAGCACATTACAGAACTTGTCAGTGCCTGAATTTATATCAGTAATGTTTTCATGTCAACTAAAATTCAATAAAAAGTTGAACAATAATTAAACATCGTACTGGATATCATAACAGACAGATCTAATATAACAAGCATAACTTAACTGATGTAGAAGCCCAAACATGCCACATTTCCTAAATGATGTTGATCCAGCAGATAACTCTCCTTAGGCACCCAGCGTCTTATATAAAAAGAATAAGGACTTAATATATTATTCATTGTCATTAAGTGGACTATTTCTGATATAATGAAAATGTTTCTTCAGTTTCAAATCACTTTCATACATAGAAAACTTGGGTAATGTCAACAGTCAAGTAAGCTCTGGATACATGAGAAGGGTAGGGATTAGTTTAAGTGGCAATACAGGTGATCAATGTAACAAAATGCTTTAAATCCCATTCTAACAAATTTAAATGCAGGAAGATTAAAAAAATGTTCATAAGTTCTGTAGTATTCATACTTTATCTAACAAGCTGCCTATATACACTAATAGCGTGCTGCTTTCCAGACATGTACTGCATTCTGCAGGTCTCATATGAAATTCTGAAAACATTTTCAAATCATGGTTTCAGTTACTTCAACATATGTATTTAAATTGCTCGTTACAAACTTTAAAACTCACACTTTTTAATTTATGAGCATCACTGACATGTCTTTCACTTCAATTGGCATAAAATAAGCAGCTGCTTTTAAGTATTTTAAGTGTGTCATTTTCTTTCAAAATTTGCTTTGCTTAGTGGGGGCTGGAGTCCAACTGGGTCCACTCAGTACAGCGGCCACTGATTGGCCTATTGTAGCCTGCCCCGGGTGATTATGACGACGGAGAATTTGGTGGAATGAAGACTGGCAGCGGAAACTGAAGTACTCGGAGAAAACCCACCCCAATGCCACTTTGTCCATCACAAATCCAACTTGACCAGACCCGGGATCGAACCTGGGCCGCCTCAGTGGGAAGCCAGTGACTAATTAATTCTTTCAGAATTAATTTTTACTTTCCAAAAATTGAAATGCTGCAGTTACTGAAGTACAGATGGCCAAGAATAAGTTTCCATGATTTTGAAAACTGGATATCAAAACAGTAAAGATGTCTATTAAAAATCAGTGCAATTAAATGGGTGCATGGCCTTCCTTATATCTGGTAAGCAGTCCCACAAGAGAGAGAAGCAGTTAGTTATGTTATCTTCAGATGGGAGGAACATTACGTATTGTCATACACAAGAACTGCAACATCTGTTCTCTCTCACTTGGCTCAATCCTCTACCCCAGTGATGAACAATGAACACTCTTATCTGCTAAATATAAAACACCACATCCCAGAAGGCAGTATTTTTATAGCTTCTATCTTCATCAGTCCCTTCCAAAAAGTATGTTCCAAATTTAAAATGTTTCTAAAAATCTACATATCAAAATCTCTTGCTCAAGTTGTATTTGTATGTTTAAAGTTTGTAGCAGGTACTGTTTTGTCTATAATAGTACTTCATTTCTGGTCCATTAAATAGGTTATATAGGTGTACGTTCTTTAAGAAATATGCTGTATATCTGACATGATGAAGTCATTTCAATTTCAAGTTATACTGAAGCGTGTTTCCCGGGATATACTCCATTAAAATTCCAGTTTGAATTCACAAGTAGTTTAAATTTTTATAACATAACACAACCTGGAGAAAATATGTATGTATTCTCCATATGCTGGTTTGTATTGACATAAAAATCAGTGAATTGTAGTTTGCATATGTACCTATTCCAATGCCTTGACTCACAGAAAAAATATGAAGTGGTTTTAAATCAAGTTCCAAATTTGCAGTGTTCTATATTTTGAGAAAATAAATACTTGTATTTTCCCTAAACTTTCTATGCTACTAACCCAAATTTCAACAAATAATTTGAGAGCTGTCTTCTGGGATGTGGCGCCATGTACATATTGTATTAACGGACGTTTCGGAGGAACGTATCGCCTCCATCTTCAGGGTAGAAGAAAAAATCTGCGAGCGAGGAACCAGCATGAGCAGGCGCTGGACAACTGTTCTTCCGAATTCTTCATAGTCACCGCCGTGAAAACCTCAAATCTTAAAAATATTTTGAGAGTTGAGGTTCTTTCTATGACTACGAAGATTACTATTTTCTGCAATGTCACGCCATGATACAACTCTTGTTGACATTTCAGAGCAATATTGTGTCTTCATATTCAACACCAAAGAGAAAGCCAAGCCAAGAGGAAGCGGAGTGCTTTGCTTGTTTGGCTTACTATGTGACGCTGAATATTGAGGCAGGACACTCCTTCAAAACATCAGTAAATTTCTATACCACTACACAACATCACATCCCAGAAGAGAGTACTCTTCAAATTTTTGTAGTACTTACTAAAATTTTACTTCATTATTTAAGAAATGAGGAAGTTCCTGCCTATGAATATCACAGGAAATATCACTGGCTATTTGAAAGAAAACTGACATGATTAACATCACACAATATGTCACTTGGTAGTGAACAAGGATAAAGATGAAGATAATGCCTGAAGAATTCAGTAAACTGTGAAATCTCAATTCAAAGTTCAAAACAAAACTGTTAAACTTACCTTAAATATCACTCTATTTTCATCATCCATGTCAGGAGAACTGATCCTCTTATCTGATGGAGGACTGCTATTGGATTTTCCTGACTTACGGCTGGAGCTACTACTCCTATTTGAGGTTCCATTATGAGCAGAACTTGGCCGTAAAGTTAACAGACTTGGCTGCACCCCTGCAGATGTGGAAGAAAAGCCGAGTGCTACTTGTATACAACACACCAAAACTAGTTTACCTTCCATGAGCTAGAACTGGTAGTGCAATTCATGAAATAGTGAAATATCTTAGGGAAATATTTAGTTCTACCACAGTGAAACAGGTCATGTCTTACAGCCAGAAGTCCATTTTCTGCCTCAGTAACGATTTCATTCCAACTAAAATAATATAAAATCAATGATAAAGAACATGGCATTTGGATGTTTCTTTCCCTTCATTCACTCCCAATACAACAGATATTAATTTTTCCATTCAATTATGCCCCTTCCTTCATTCTGGTAGTTAATGCTTCCAGTTATGGTTTACTAATTCTTTCTGGTCATTACCTGTCTCAGGAATGATAAAAGTGTTCCTTTCTGAGGACACTGCTACCTTGGGTTGTAAGATGATCATGAAGTTGATGGTTATCAGAGAAAATCTGGAGCTTAATATTCAGAGAAAATCGCAACATGTTATCTGTATCTGAAGTGACTACTGAAGTGCTTTAGACTTGCTGCACGGTGTACTCATGATCTTTCTGTAGGTCTAAATTTCTAGCGAGAGAAGATATCTTCAAGCACCTATAAGTACAGATCCTCCCTAAGATCAGCCCAAGGACAAGCATGGATCTTTTCCACACTTCTCTGTCCATGACACCAACACCTCAGTAACAAGTTTCTTCTTAAATTGTGCATGAATGAATTCATTCTTTCACCTTTAGCTGGCTTCTTCCAAAAAAAATTTGTTTCAAATGCCTCGTTTGACTGGGGAAAGACGTGATTGTTCAGGGTCTGTTCTTCTTACTGTTAGGTTGAACTCCAGCTGCCTGTTTTTGTGAAGCTTCCTCTGCAATAACATTTTCTTCTAGGGCATTCACCTTCTAAGTCAGAGCACTACTTCTTGCCACTGCTTCCTGAGTAATGTTCACATCCCCAATTAGACTGTGGGAAAAATGTTTTGCATTTTGGGCTGAGCTCTGTGAAACAAGTACCATCTCCTACCAAGAGCATCAGAGAATCCCAGCTTAGTCCATATGCCATGAAGGCATATGGGGAGTGGAGGTATAGCTCTACCATTCTTGACCTTGGCACTAGATCGAAGTGAGTGGTCAGTTTCATGTCTCTTCAACTTTACCCAAAATGCTCATGATATAGGAGACTGGGTGGTCCCCAGTGTTGTTCTGGACATTGTGGAAACAAAAAATTATCTTTCCCTTGCTGGGAACTGAGAGCCAGCATTGACATTATTAAAGTAATGATTATGACGAATGGAATACACTTCAGGAATACAGTAAAATATTTTATTCTTTACACTGTTAGTGTATTCCCTTTTCCTCAGTTTTATATTCAAATTTACACTACCACTTTTTAAATTTTAGAACACGATTTCATTATACTATGATTTATTGAGAATAATGCAATAAAAACAGCATGCAAGGCTTAAGAAAAACTGAAAATGATTTTTTAAATTAACATACCAGCTGGAGGTAGTTTTGTCCTAGTTATGATTAGTTCGGGAAGTTTCCAGCTCTGAGACTCATCATTCCAAACAGCCTCACTCTTTATTTTCTCCAAATTACTGCAAAGAAAATGACAAATTTTGTTTCTTACACAAGAGGTTGAGAGAGAAATGTAATAATTTTATTTAATTTATGTTTTAGTTGTTAATACAACTGTACAAAACACTAGATATTTTATCTGATATTCTGAACTCTGAAAATGTTTCACTGCTGTAATGCATGTAACCATGCATAACATCAAGAGTTCTCTGTATCAACTGAACAAATCTGTGATTGTGTTGATGTCAGTAGTTCACTTTTAAAAGACTGTTTTTTTTATTCCAAAAGATTCTCAATTCCAGGTCACTTCTTGCAGATATATCATGTCTGATTAGCTATGTCATCTAATAAGGCAAGGAAATCTGTTAGAGATATATATATACTGTTCTCTGCTCAGTATCAACAATCTCTGTTATTGTTATGGACACTAGAAATAAGGCATTGTCCATACCTAATATTTATTTATTTTAATCATGAGGTTATTGTTATCTTAGTATAACAAAAGAAAAGAAAAACTCCGTGGTCTGTATTCTGCAAGCGAACTATACTGACCAAGCGACCGCCACTTGTCAGCAAAGTTAGTGCCAACTTTTGCGGATAGAGGGTGTCACATGGTCAGCGCAACGGATCCCCACGGCCGTTAATCTCGGTTTTCTAGGCTGGAGCCGCTATTTCCTTGAAATAACTACTCAGTTTTCCTCATGAGGCTGAGTGGACCTTGCTCCAGACCCACTACTTCTCAGAGAAAATCTGGTAGAGCCGGGAATCGGACCCGGGACCTCTGGATTTGTAGTCAGGAACTCTCACCACTAGACCACAGAGGCAGTTTTAGTATAAGATCAAGTTTATTAATTGTTTTCACATTGCAAACACTGATATATGTATATTTTCATTACTGTTCATGATAAACTCAACTATCTGTTGGTTCCTTCTTTAAATGGAGAAATTATTATATTGTGACAGGATGGCTGAAGTCCAGAAACAATGCATCCATGAATCTGGGGTGCCACATGCTACAGCTGAGATGAGAAGATGAATCACTGTGGTGCAGATATGAATATAGGTCCAACAAGTAGAGGGAATTAAAATTAAGACATAAACTTTCCTACATATCAATGGGGACTGATTTTACAAAATTAATGTATAATGAAAATCTGTTTACATTTCATATATGAAGTTCCTTGCTAAATGAGAATCCAAATTATCCAAAATACAGCAGAAACAAGTTTCGTGAATAAATCAAATAAGAGAAATGAGTATTAAATCTCTTTTCAGTTCTTTCAATTGATATTTTGTCCATATTTAGAGAAGGCTAGGGGAAAAAGACACATCTTTAAACATTTTTAAACAGTTGGAGATCAATATCGTTAATATATCCCTATTTTCTACTACTTTCCAAAAATGTAGACTCTAAGAGAACAGATATACACACCAGAAACCATAACATTGTTTACTATCAATAATTAACTTAAAATATACATGTACTTCAAACTTACCTATAATTACATTCCTTTTTTAAAGTTGGCAATATTTTTTCAACAATTTGAAGATATAGCTTCTGTAAACGAACTTGTTTCCTTATTGTCTCCAGGTAGTCTGTTCTTTCATTCTCAAACTCACTCTGGAGATCGGATATTTCTCTTTCTAATGCCCGAACCTTTCAATAACAAACAAATAGCAAGAAAAAATTAAGATTAATTGAATCACAATCTCCATCATGTAAAAGGACAGGAATGTACTGAATGAACAAAAATTTTACAGAATTTACTTTGCACAAAGGTATGTCTAAATATATATTTATTTTAAAATTTTTTGATAAAACCACTGAAACGTCATTAAAATTATTTTCGGGAGACACTGAAAATGTATTTCATAAAACGAAAATCGATGGAAAAGAATATAAACGTTTCAAATTCATATATTTTGATATACAAACGCCATAAAATTGGTACAATATTTTACATTTTAGTCTCTGTAATAAATGTGAATTATGAGCAGAATCTAACAGAAATCTAACTTGCAGCCACTGTGAAATTTCAGACTTGACGAACATTCATCACCTGCTACTTTCCATTATGTATGACTTACTATCTCCATATTGTCATCAATTATAAACGATCATGTACACCAATTTCCTCATCCTGTACTTTTGTTACTAAACATCTTCCTACTGCTAACAGTGTATTTTGTTGTGTATTGGTAGGTAGCAGCAAAAACATAAACAAATAATACATCCGAAGCACTGAACTTTCAAACCAAGATGTAATGACATCAGCTGCTTCAACATAGAGCCTTGTGCTGCTACCAGAAACAGCAGTGATGACAGAACTCTTCAATTCAACGGGGGTGCAGTATAATGCATCCAGGGAAGGTGGCCATCATTCAAACTTCAGTGAAGAATGCCATACATCTTGCTGTACAAATGCTTAAAATATGAGTCTTGCAGGCTTTTTCAGTACACAAACAAACCTCATGTCCACATCTCTCCACTTTTAAGGTACACATATAATAAATAAACAATAAATTTACCCAACTGAACAATGGTACAGCCTGCTTTGATTATCACTTTCTAAAACTGTGATAAGTTTAACCATTCCAGATCCATCTACTGTGGGAAAGAGGGCGAGTCATCATCGGTTAGGATGCTGACTGCTACCTCACTGTTTCAAAGTTGCATGCTTCTATATTCAGCACAATCTGGTATTCATACGGCGGTGGGATATTGAAACATACATAAACAGAACTTTCTCTCATAATGTTACCTAACAAAATATGATGTTCTGTTGTTCATAAAGTAGTACACCCGTCCCACACGCTTTACTTCCACGCGGTGTATGCCTCGACTAAATTCAGCGGAATGAGTCTTATATCCCAGGGGTACATGGGTGTTGGCTCGCTTACGTCGTTTTTTGGATGCGGGCTCGATCGGTTAACCCCCTAGCACAGGTTCCACATGAACACCCTCACTCCCTGGCTTCTACTCATTAACTCCTTCACTCCCCGGCTTCCACTCACTAACTAACTCCTTACCCCCGCTGCTGCTTCCAGAAACCACGTTCTTAGCCCTCTCGAACTTTCCACTGGGGGGGGCTTCATGACCAAATACACGGACCCCTTCCGGTCTGCACACCTTCTCGAACGTTCTTGAAGCTTCAATCCACAGGTCCTCCACCCCCACAGGCACGGACGAAAGAAGGTACACCTACTCCCCCTTGAATGCAATGGACTCACCAACCTCCCTTCTGTCCCTCGCAACAAAAGGCCAGTTCAGAGGACCATGATCCCTCTGGGGCATCTCATTTCTACAGCTAAACTTAACCGTTACTTACAAACAAATAAGACTTTCTGTGAAGGATGCGTACGGTTACAGTTGATGTAATATCCCACTGGATTCAATTCATCCTGCTTGAATTTTAAAACAAAAATACCGAATCTGGCACTGGACTTCAATGTGATTTTCCAATACTGGACTCATTCCAACAGAGAACCCCTTTTGAAATTAATTTATTTGAACAGATGACAGACCAGCTGGGATAATTTCCATTTATTTCTTTAATTATAAGCATGTCAGGGTTGTGGGACTTCTGTCTAAACTGGGAAATTATTCCACAAATATTAAACTGGATGAGAACATGAACGACTATATCTTGTAGTCCCTTAAATATATTTAATTTTACCTTCATCTTGTTTTTTCTAAGGGCGTCAGTCTTAAGGCTCAGTTCTTGCTGGATATCATCATAAACCTGCAGAAACACTCCATCATCATCTTCAACCTTTGACAGAACCTTGGCCAGGGCCTGAAGGCGGCGTTCAGCTGCTTTCTTCTTCCTGAGCCGTTTTTCTTTCAGTTCACGGTCATTGGCACGCTCTCCACCTACCATGCTTTTCTGCAACTTCTGCAACCTGTTCCAGCAGTTTTAACCATTACATTCAATACTTAGACACAAGACAAACTTTGTTACAGATGAATATCTCTTTTATTTATTGACATGCATCATTAGTATACTGACATCAGACTTCTGTGTGACATGCTAATACAGACTATAAATTATACTGGACCTGAGGTTTTCATAGCAATGACTGTACAAAGTACTGCCTTGTGAAATGGGACGCCATAGATTTTCATTGAAATATACTGATGTTTAAGAGCTGCATATTGGATCTACCTTCAGGGACACAGGAGTAATTCAGGCAGTTCCTGCTCGATTTGATAACCCTTTCGCTCTGAAGATGGAGGCAGTACTTTCTTCCAAAATGTTGAGATATTTCTTCCAGGCTACATGGCACCAAATCCCAGAAGACAGTACTCTTTATACAGTGAACATTTTATAAATGTAGAAACTGTTATTTCAGATAGGTTTTTGTCATCCTTCACTATCAATTGAAATAATTCAGGAAAAACAAAATTTTCAGAGTACTTCAGACTTTAATCAGTATTTGGGTGATAGATGTGAAGATACTAAATAAAATTTCTGAAAAATAATACAGTTTTTCAACTTCATATGTACATGCGACATTCTGGAGAATGGGTTTGATAATGATAAGTGGCCTAAGATTGATCCCTGGGGAACACCATTGACAATCTTACCCCAACTTGAGTGAGTGCACTTCTTATCAGTTACAACTCTTTGATGTCTACCATGAAGGTAGGATTCCAGTTAGTGATAACAAGAGAATTACACCCTGTATTTACAGTTTGAACATACCTCAGTAGTACTTCTTGTTGAGATGGACTAATGGCTGGATTCTCACTGAAATTTAAATCATAACTGTGATTTATCAAACATTTCATTGCTTGAATTCCCAACTAAAAATAAACTTTCACTGTTACTAAACAGAGGAAATTCAACTTCAATACTTCATATCTTATATAAAATATTTAATCATATCAGATATAAGTAAAACAAAGTATGTTCCAAATATATTTTTAATTTCTCGTATATATAGCTTATATCAGAAGGTACTGTGATGGTGGAAAAAATCACTGTCAGAATTTTGACAAATTTACAAATTTTGAGCCCACTGAACACAAACAGAAAAGTAATTTTGGTACATCATCTGCCCGTCTTTCTGTATGCCTGCAAGTGCATATGGCTGTGCTCCTTGCTGGAACCTGAGTGGGTGGATGAACTTCATGTTTTGTAGTCAACAGTCTGTCACAGGTCAGTGCCCAGTGAATATGAACACACTATCTCCAAAAATAGGGGCCCTATAGATTGGCCCTCAAAAGTAAAATGAATTTTTTTCAAAGTTTAAATCGAGTTTTTTATTAAATGGTGTTATAAATATCAAGACTATACAGCATTGACAATAGGATGATTATTGAATGTTTAACAGGTGGTGGAATATGAATTGGCAGAAGACACGGAAATACTTCAAATAAATCTGCACCTGTCCCACTTTATCCACCTCAATTCCCATGTGTCTGGGATCATGCCCAGGCTGCTGAGGTATGATGAATGTAACGGTTACATTCAATTTTTGGACTTCTAAGTGTTATTTCTTCACCACAATTCTGTATGTGTACCTTGCTTCCAATCTAAGGTGACTAAAACAAATGTCACACAGAAGAACAGTTACAGTTGCAAGTATGGATTAATTATTCTTCTTTTAAATTAGTATAAAATGACCACTTAAATATGGAGCAGTTATGCATCCCAGTAGACCTTTCCAAGACAACAGGAAAATCCTTAAAAGTAAATGGAAATCCCACATACACTAAAGTCCTGCTTCTCTTATGGCTAAGCATGCAGAAGTCTCAGTGAACAGGAAAACATTTCAAAGAAAATTTACTGTTTTCTTAATGTTACTCTAAAACAAATGTGCAATCCACGTATGTCCGCCCACAATCCAGTAGCCACTAGCAGAGCTACCAGTCATGCTGTCTCAAACAGGTGTCATTACAGTAGAGGTTAGTTGAATTTCTGATCTTGTTACAGGCACTGCATCTGAAATCTGCTACATCAACTATGAAGATTCCTGCACAGGAACTATTATTTTTTTATTGCCAGTGGGGTGGAACTAAGTCCCTTGTACTGCAGCCACTTCTGGCCTATTGTACCAGCCCCAGATGATAGGTGAGGGTGACTGTGGAGCAATTGGTGGAATGAAGATTGGCAGGGGAAACCGAAGTACTCGGAGAAAACCTGCCCCAGCGTCACTTTGTCTGCCACAAATCCACTTGACCAGACCTGGGATCGAACCCAGGCCACCGTGGTGGGAAGCCAGCGACTAACCGCTTGAGCTATGGCGTGGCCTTGCACAGGAACTAAAATGATGTGATATTTTGACTTTGTGATTAATTTCTGCAAGACACCTCATGCAAATGACAGATTCATATAATGTGCATACCATATACTCTGGTCATGCTAGATAAGCAGGCATTTACTGTACAGCTTTCAACCTTAACCTACAAATATACACCCAATTTGTATGTCACAGTCAGAGATCTAACTTTAACTATACTTTGAATACATACCCCTTAAGGGCCTCAGTCACAATGAGTTCTGATGGAGTTTTGGCTCCAACAATTTGAGATTTGGCACTTGCATGAGTGGTAACCTGGAAGAGATATTGAATATGTTAAATTATTAATAAATTTTAAGCTATGAATTTTAAGACAGTGTCTACATGTTGTTGAGCTAGAAAGAAGAAAACTGAATTTAAAAGAGTTTGAGTGATGCATAAAGTTGTGAGTAAATAAATTTTCACTCTCTAAACACAGGTATAGGACTTCTACTCCACCATTTCCTTCAGCTTTAATACTGCCAAACTAGAAAAGTAAGCAAACTTAGAAAATAATGAGGAAATTGTCTCAAGTTATCTTCTTCTATATGTCCCACATGGACTGGAAAATACTGAACTGGACTGAATGTATTAATGCCAGTTGTATATTGTTATTTAATTAATTACTGTACTTGTTTGTTTATTCTCTCAAGTTCTTCTTCATACTGTCGTTTCAGCTTATCCATGTCCAACTGAAGCTTTGTCTTGTGGTCCTGTTCAGCCAGGTACTGTTCTCGCATCTTCTTCATTTCATTCTCATACTCAAGCCGAACTTTCTCACGTTCCTCTGCCAGAACCTTCTCATCAGTCATCAATATCGCTGTGGAAAGAAAGTGCTTACATAAATTTAGGCAGATGCGGTTATTAGCCCCATCACATTATCTATAACTTTCAGTTGGAAGCATTGCTAATTATGTCTTAATCCTGTTATTACTATTTAAGTTTTGTGATGTATATAATGGCCCCAAAATGGGCTAGGACAGCACCTAAGTTTTGCTGAGGATTTATTTGTTTAAGATCTGAGACATATTAGACAATTTTGTATGTGTTCGAAAGGTCAGCTGCTTAGCATGGATAGTAGGCCGTGCCATAGCTCAAGCAGTTAATCACTGGCTTCCCACCGTGGCGGCCCGGGTTCAATCCCGGGTCTGGTAAAGTTGGATTTGTGGTGGACAAAGTGGTGCTGGGGCGGATTTTCTCTGAGTACTTTGGTTTCCCCTGTCAATCTTCATTGTACCAAATTCTCTATCATCATAATCACCCGGGGCAGGTACAATAGGCCAATCAGTGGCCGCCGTGCCGAGTGGACCCAGCTGGACTCCACCCCCCACTAAACGAATTAAAAAAAATTAGCATGGATAACAAAGCCCATCGCTTTCAAGAGCACAGATAATCTTATGCCTATTACACACACCCATATGAAATACAAAAATATGTGTTTTCTTTTAGTGCTTCAAGTTGTAGTGTAGGCCTATATCAAGGCATTTGATATTATTTTGTGTCCAGAATGTTGGCACAATGATCATTTATCCAGCTTCAATGACAATGTTAGGATTTTGTTTAGAAGCTGACCAATTAACCCATCGCCACATCCAAAGTTTCTCACAATTTTCTGCATCCCTCCCTCAAATACTGGACTGGAGCCATTATGCAGCCATTTCCTCTTACATGGTTCATGGTTCATTATTGACAACCATCCTATAATATTCAATTAATGCAGTTAATCTCTGTGTGATTTATATTATATATTAAGAAACACACTAATAGTCACTAATAGAACAATCACTTAGAACACTGTTTCCACAGAAGAGTTACTTGTGTACATTAAAAAGGGTCTATTGTTTATTGTTATTAAATAACTCCACAAATCCTGTCAATCACTTGAAACAATTTTTACACCAAAGAGTTAGTTGAGTAAAGCACAAGAGGAAACATAAGTAGCAAATGGCAAGATTGACTGACATCTGCTGGTCTAACTACTGAACAAAGGCTCCAGCCTCTTATAATATATCTGAAATACAGCTAATATTTATGAAGTTCGGAATGCTGTATACATGTCTTACAAACAATATTCAATAAAATCATCAGCTTTCATGAAAGTAATTTTGAAAATCATGATGCAGAAGTCTAGTCTACATTCCCATTCTCTTATTTTCATGGTCCCAAAATGACTTTGTATCAGCTTCTCAGTCAGGGGAAACAATAATATAATTTGAAATATAATTCTGAGATTTTCTTTACTAACAGATAATTAAAAGGGGCATGTGGTAGCATAGTTGGTTGAGGTGCTATGCTACAAGTTGGAACGTAGTGGATTTGAGTCAAGATGATGTGGATTATTCAATTTACCTAATCCTTCCAGCTGCATTATGGCCCTGGCCTCTGACAGAAATGAGTACCAGTACCCCTGGGGGGGTAATGGGCAATTGGCACATAAGGCTGACAATCTTACCTCCATCTGTCAGCCAACTGTCTAGAGAAAATGTGGGAGCCTCAATGTCTCACAATCCTATGGGCCTTTATGGCTTGTTACAAGGATAGCTTTATATTTTTTAACAAATATTTAAAAGGAATGACAATTTCATTAACAATAATTTTATGTAAAACAGAAAACTATGATTTGGCAGTGCTACAAAACTACACATATATCTCAGTTCCATACTAAGACTCTTTTGAAGTCTGATGTTCTGAAATATTACAAATTTTATAAAAAACATTCTATCTTGTGAGATATGATGCCATGTAGTTAATTAAAAATCAATCAGATTTTCAGAGGAACATGTTAACTTCATTGTAGTGTCAAAGAAGAAAGCCAAGAAACAAGCAAAAAACAGGTAGCAAGTAGGACCTGCTGGGTCCCAGCTATCCATACGGTCTTATATCCCAGAAGAGAGAACTCCTCTTAACCACTGCTGTGAGAACCACAATTCCTACAAAAAATTCATGTTGAAAATTGCGAAATTTCCAACAGCACAAACTTGTTTTGAACAATGAGTACTGTAGTTACATTTGACAAAGCGGCCTCCGTAGTCTAGAGGTAACGTTCCCACCTCATGACTCATAGTACGCGGGTTCAAACCGGGCGGAGGTCGTGGAATTTTTAAGGGCAGAAAAATTCAGGGAACAAGTCCTCCGGGAGAGACTTTAAGCTGTGGGTCCCGTGTCGTAGCTTTATGGCACGTAAAAGAACCTCATATCTCCTAAGGTCACTGAGCCAAATTCAAGGACATTTCCCACCCAACAGTAGTATCTTAATGCCTCTAATAGATGGGGGAAGCATTATAGATACTGCCAAGCCAGTAGAGGCCGAACTCGCTGGCTTGGTCGGGACTGATGGTAAGCACCAGTATCGGTAGGGTATAGAGACCGGTAGAATATCATAGAGGGAAGCACAATAGATCAAACTGGTCGCGGTGCATGAGGAAACCCACCCTCTCTAAATAAATAACTAACTAAATTTGACAAGAAATACTCCATATTTCATAATCTCTATTACTGATGAAAGGATATTAAAGAAAGACTAGGGTATTTCAGTCTTACTCAGTTTCCAATCAGATAATGACGAGTGGAAATGCATTCTTAACAAATGGTCTTAATGTGATAAATTCAAATAAATTTTGTATTTTAGTTTGAAACAGAATTAATTTTATAGAATTTAAAGAGTGAATTCTCTAACATTTTAAATACCTTTAATAACAATAGAATTTTCATGGCATGTAGGATTCTTTTCTAGGAGTGACAGGAATATAGAACTCTGTGATAATTCATCATCAGTTGGTTATTCCTTAGGAGGAGATGAAGTGGGAGGCAAATGAGCACTTACGAGAACAAAGTTCTATAACATCATCAAATAAGAAGACACTGATAGTTCAATGATCATACATTACAAACCAGAGTTATAAAACCTATATGATTTGACCAGTCATAACCACTGATATACAAAGAGAACTTGCTAATGGTTTAATGTGATTTATATTCAAATAAAATAGTTAACATGTCTAATGTTAGTATACTTATTTGTAATATAGTAATATAGTATAATCTGCATACAAAGAGCAGCATATGTGAAGGTCTTTATAGTGCTGGCTGTGACTTCTGATGAGGGCAAATAACAGCTGGATCATGTAAAAGCAAAACTTTCACTCACTCCTATGAAATAGTTACATGTGATGGTTTCTGCTATTTATTTATGTAATTACCTGTATTTCTGCTAGAGCTGGTCGTCTCAAGCATCTGTCTCAGCTTCTTAATCTCTTCCTGGTATTCCCTAAGCATTGTATCCTTTGGATCCTCATTTATCCTTGGCTTGTTCTTAATGTTCTTCGCACGGTTTGCATAGCGCAATGTACTCAATGTTTCATCATAGTTGTTGTCAGCAGGTGAGAGACATGCAATCATGAGAGTTTTTGTGTTGCCTCCCAGTGAATCCTGTTGGATATCATTTACATGTCACAGTATCAGTGTTCAGTATCCAAGCAGTAACATGATATAACTTTCAATGTCTTTGGATTTAGTTTTATATCTATCATGACTGGAATAACCTGATGAAAATAGCATGTGCAAGTGTGTGCATGCATATGTATGCTTCTATGAGTAATGAATTAAAAATTACCCTACTCAGTTCACCACAGTTTTTCTTTTGAACTAACAATTTCAGCCTTAATGTGTATGAGTGACTACAGATGGAGTTTGGATTGGTAATCGGATTTATTGGACTTTCTGACACAGTACATGACTACACTTTACATTTCACTGACACATTTACACTAATGTCCTCAGTCATGTCTTCACTAGTCATTGCTCGGTAGCGGCTTCCAACAGCGGATGTTCCTCTTCTTCTGGGTTCCCAAATTATACATACACTGTGGACACTGTACACATTTGTCACTTTAGTACAAATAATAACATTTATACTAGATGTACACATGATCTCTATCAATGCATGTTTGTTCATCAGTTACGTCTAAATTTATTTAACCTCTCCAAAACAACAGTGAGTCACTTGAACAGTCATAGATATGACTGCTGCCAAGTTTATGCCTCTTATACTTCTATGCATGACTTCCCCTTGTTCATTTACATGTACCATGGAATCAGATTATTGTGAATGGCTTTTCTGCACAATTATTTATGTAGTCATACGTATAAGGAATTTTGAAAGTCACGTGTAAATCATGGACAAGTGTGTGCCTGTCATATTTGCCAGTAATCCACATAACTCTGTTCTGTGGTTGCTGCAGCTTCAGAAGGCGAGCGTCCACCACACACTCCCAGGTGGGATAGACATGAATTATTGACCTAATAAGATGTTTATAAAGAATAAGTTTAACATTAGTGCCTAAACCTTCATTTTTGAATAGAGAATAGGTCCTTTATATATGTGCCCAAGGCCTTGGCTACAGTCCTTTCAATATAGTCTCTCTGTCAACCTGCTATCGAAGATGATATCAAGGTACTTCACAGTATTTACAAAGGGGATGTTCCATCCATTTATTTGTAGTACATCCTCAGAGACCCCAAGTCTTCTGGAGAAATAGATCACCTGAGTTTTTCCTTCATTGATCTTTATATTTCAGTGCTCACACCATGACTTCACTGCATTCAGGGGGCGTTACAATTTGTAGAAAACATAACGTTCATGCTTCTGTGTCACATATGTATACGTATCACCCGTGAAAGAAAAAGACGACTTCCATGTGCAGCGGTTGCACTATTTATACACGGAATGTGAAATACTGGGGCAAAGATGGAAACTTGAGGCACTCTGAGCCATTATTGGTTCCAGGTCCCACGGGACTCATGGCCATATAATTGCAATAACACCATTCTGGCAGTAGCTCTTCTATATGGGGCTGCAACTGGCAATATCCTGACATTTCAGTTACTGCCCAGCCTTTGCTTCCTGCAGAACTGCTCCACATCCCTCTCAAGCTACTGTCTGTCCAACATGGGCCTCCATAGGGCATGTCACCATGAGTATGATTTCATGGCTGGTGGTCGTTAGCCATCCTAACAAGCACTTCCATAAGGTTTAGAAAACACTGTAAGCCAACTCCATGGTATTCCTTAGCTGCTCACTCTTGACTCTCCAACATTGAGCTGACATCACCCTGCTGCAGCCCTTCATGATGTGGTTGCTTCTTGGGGCACCATAACATTCATAATTTGCCTGCTTTGGAAATTTATTCACATCATGCACAGAATGCACTTGTCTTCTCCGCTTCTATAGCAAAACAGCACAAGCATGAAGCAGTAAAATCAGCATACACACAACATTAACACTTGCAGTTAAATACAGAGTGATTCAGAAAGATGGACACAATTTCAATTGGCTATATTTCCTGAACTATATGTTGCATTTGAATTCTGTAAAGTACATTTGAAAGAGGATGTTGTAAAGTTTCTAATATTACCGCTAGAGCACTCCAGCGCCGCGTAAGTTGTTTTGAATGACCTAAGAAACCGTATCACTGCGGTGAACTCAGTGATGCAAGATATTTGTCATCGAGTGTGGGATGAATTCATCTACCGTCTAGATGTTAACCGTGCAGCCAGAGGGGGGCACATTGAACATCTATAAACTTCCATGTATGTATAATCAAATGTAATTTACAGAATTCAAATGGAACATATAATTCAGGAAATATAGCCAATTGAAATTGTGTCCATCTTTCTGAATCACCCTGAATGTCTTGCCTATTACAACTGGAAGATTTGAACATATTGTCATACCTGTAAAAGCCTTGTCAATTTGGAGTCTCTGTAGGGAATGTGTTTGGACTTTCCATCCACTAGAGCTGATATCACATTCCCTAAGGCAGATAATGATAGGTTTATTTTGGTAGCTTCTTTTAATCTCTCGCCAGTGGCACCTGAGTGAAGAAAGAGAATTTAAATTTCTTTTACATCTGGAAATATTTTAGGGGATTTGTGATACGCAGAGTAATTAAGGAAAATATAATAATGCTTATTTATTTATATAAATATGCCAACTTTAGCAGATATTGGATATCGCATGGTCAGCGCAATGGATGCCCACGGCCGTTCATCTCGGTTTTCTAGACTGGAACCACTGTTTCCTTAAAATAGCTCCTCAATTATCCTCACGAGGCTGAGTGGGCCCCATTTCAGACCCACTACTTCTCAGAAAATCTGGTAGCACCAGGAATCTAACCCATGACCTCTGGTTCTGTAGCCAGGAACTCTGACCACTAGACCACAGAGGCTAGTAAATGTACTTTCTGTCCTCTGTAAATGAGGATTCAATAAAAGAAGCTACAATTGAAGCCACTTTCATACATAAATGCAAAAAATGTTACTATATCTTATATCATCTGCATAATAAAATAAGATGTTAAAGTCAGAACCCATAAAACTGACTTTCCTCCTACTCAGGCTTCTCATTATAATGAAGTGACTGAAAGTGATAAAGAAAGACACAGCTATAGTGGTAGTTGTGGGGCTGTGGTCATAATAGTGATAGTAAGAAAAGTAGTAGTAGCAGTAGTAGTAGTAGTAGTAGTAGTAGTAGTAGTAGTAGTAGAAGTAGTAGAAGCAGTAGCAGCAAAGAGGTAAAAGGGATAATGGCTGCTGGATAAAGGTACATATATTAAATTAGCATTATGTCCTGAACATTACGTATTCTCAGAAGATTAATGAGATTTAATAACTTAGGGGATGTAGACAGCTCAAAAAATTATTCAGTACAAAAGGATAAGTGGCATTTTACATCTTGGTAACATCATATGTTGAATCACACATGAGTCTCTGGGTTGGAAATGTATAGGGCTTTATGAAATGCCCATTAAAGAAGGTATTTTCTAGTTACCTGTCTTGGCTTGTCGTTCACTACCAGCAAGATCAACAAGGTTCAGCTTGCCCTGACGGATGTGGTCTCCATCATCAGAACAGCCACCATCTTCAAGAGCACAGAGTGGCATCATTTCCAGGTTGATGCTGAATATTGAATGTGATCTTGATGAGTCAGCATTCATCAATGTTGACCCTGTAGCTCTGTTCTTCCAGCCTCGTTCCATGAGTTTCTCACAATCCAACACATTCTGAACTGGATGCATTGACAGATCTAAGAAACAGGGATATTCAATAATAAAATTACTATGGAAAAAAGTACTTATACCCACTAAAAATATAAGAATATGAATGGTATTATCTGGCACTTAATTTATCCCCATGGAGCTCCAGCTTCTCTCTGTTTTCTGGAGTGTTGTGACAAGGGAATAAACATTCCCACTTATATGCTGACTGGAAACCATTAAACTGAGGTATTTCCCTATTTCCATCAGCCCTCCAAATGAATACTAGATAAGTGTATGAAAAGAGGAATATTTATAACTCTTACCTTTTCATTCAACTCATAGTATCCCATACATTACAACACAGCGTCCATAGTTATCTGGATACAGTGACAGTGCAGGTATGCTCATGCTGAAACTATGGTGCAACAAACATAGCGCCTACATAGAAAGACTCACCCCTCCTTCATCAAAAGGAGGCCCCATTTCAAAACACGTGCATGTTTAGGAGAGACTAAAATTCTTGGTCATGGAAATTGAGGAGACTGAAGTCAGGAATAATTGTGCTGGAAAAAACCAGCAGCAAACTAACTGTCCAACCAACTGCTAAAGCTGTCAAAGAGTCAAGTACATTTTGAGCTTGGATGCAGGTGGTTCAAGAGGACCCAATGGTGAAACAACCCCCCCCCCCCCNTGTGAGAGGCAGAGGAGCCTTTGCCTAGTGACAATGAGTTAGTAATGAGACAGACTTCAGCCTGCAAGGACATGAGCTCAGAAACATAGAAACTGAGGAATCTATGGTGTAGTGAATGTTACCAGGCGACAACCGGTGAAGGCACAAAAGGCTGAGATGACTTATTTCATGCTGTGGTGAATTGCAGGCTGTATGAATTAGCAATAATGCTATTGTACTTGTAGTTACGATCTCCAAGAACATAATACATGGTATACTCAAAAGATTGATGCGGTTTCAAAAGATAATAAGAAATTTATTTATCAACTTACACAGGCACAACATACACCATCAGCGGCGTCAGCTGTCCAAGTTTCTCATGCGCTAATTACAAGCCTTCAATATGTGCACCCTGGGTCACACAACACACATCCACATGGTAATCAAACTCATCCCAGATCTGGTGTAGCATGTCCACTGTAACAGCCTGCAGCGCATGCGTTATCCTATCACGAAGTTCATGGATGGACGTGGGCAATGGTGGTACATAAACGCTGTCTTTAATGAACCTCCCAAAAAAAAGGAATTGCACGGCATAAGATCTGGCGAACGGGGTGGCCAAGGGAGAAGGTTGTTGTCTCCATTTGCAGCAGCACATCCAATTCAGCGCTGTGGAAGACCACAATTGAGAAACACCCGTACATTCCTGTGAAAATGGGGGGGTGGGGTGAGCTCCGTCCAGTTGTAGAATGTAATTGTCATGATTGGTATTCAGTTGGGGTAACAACCAGCGTTCTAACATGTTCAAAAATGAGTCGCCTGTCACAGTTGCTTCCGTGAAGATAAATGGGTCGTACACTTTCTCACGGGACTTTTGGAGAGTCACGCTGGTGATTCTATCTGTGCATGTGGTTGCGCGGTTCCCCTGATATGGACATTGTGTCTGTTCGCCTTGCCATATTCCTCCATTTTCAACTGCATCTCCTCGCAAAAGTCACGCCTTTTGCTTTGTCTGCTGGTTTAAGGGGCTGCACCAGTCGCATCTTGTACGGTTTTAAACAGCCACTTATGCAACACCTTCCACACCGTCATTTTTGGCATGCCCAATCCCCTGCTTCCTCTACCCACTGACTTGCGGGGACTTCGGTGAAACGCATCACGCACTCTTTCGATGTTGTCATCAGACACACAAGGTCGACCACGACTCTTGCCTTTACACGAGCATCCAGTATCTACAAACTGTCGGTACTACCAGCTTATGTTATTCTTGTGTGGCGCGTCTTTTTGAAACCGTGCACGAAACTCACGCTGCACTGTACACAGATCTGGACACCTCAAAACGGAGCACACAGAAAGCCTTCTCCTGCTGTACCGCCATCTTTGAAAGTGGCCCGGTGGCCACGCAGTAAGCATAACAAGTTAACTGCTGGTAGCGCATGAGAAACTTGGATAGTTGCCTCCGCTGACGGTGAATGTTGTGCCCGTGTAAGGTGAGAAATAAATTATTTATTAACTTTTGAAACCGCACCAATCTTTTGTATATAACCTGTATATCTGATTATGAATCCAGACTCTGTCTATAATCACTCAACACGTGACAATATTAATGTTTTAATCCTTAGAAGACAACACGTGCGTAATGCACGTGAAAGATTTCCTTTTAGGTGTTGGTTGCTTACCAATAATGGCCATCATTGGCCGAAACATTTTAAGACTCTATTAAGGTAAAAGGTAAACTTGTCCCTGTATTTAAGTAATTACATGAAGGCATATGGAGGAGGTGATGTATAGACGTTACATTGACCTTGGCACTAGTTGGAGGTTAGCGGTCAGGTTTACGCCCCAGCTGCTTTATTCCCGGGGAAAGAGCCCCCAGTACCCTTTGGATGTGAGGCTGGATGGGCCCCAGAGCCGGTCTGGATGACATGTAGGAGAGAAAATTCTTGACCCTACCGGAATTCGAACTCTGACCCCTCAGTCGTCCAGCCTGTAATCGGTCGCTATACTAACTGCGCTATCCCGGCTCCACTTTTAAGACTCTATTTTATTATTAAAAACATTTTTACATTTGATAGAATTCAGTCCTACTTTCATGTATAGTGTAATTATATAAGGAGACTGTGAATAAGGAAGGCATATGAAACTGTTCACCTTATACAAGTACACTGATTGATATTTTATATCACACTACCGTTATGTCTATATTAGAATCATCTTGAAGGGATGAGACAGAAAGTGGGTGTGGCCTATTACAATTGTATTTGCCTAATGAGACTGTGAGTGCAGCAAGCAAACCAATGAGCCTTTGAGCTGCCATGGTGAGTGCAGATTGGGTAGTACTTGCTTCACTGTGGGAGGCTCCCACAAGTCTAACAAAACTATAAAACACAACTCTTTAACGAACCGTCACAACACAGCAAATAGTAAACATCAAAGTCAGCGTTCTGCTGTGGCTTTGCTACATGTTTCAGCCACTAACAGCCATCATCAGGCAAATACATATCAGCAAAAACTACCATTTAACTGCAATCATAAAATGGATATAACACTATTAATTGTACAAATTTAAAAATGCTTATGTAAAAAATACTAAAATTCAGATTATATAAAAATTAAAAATTTGAAGTATTATATGACAAGATATATATTCATGATGTTTTCAAAACATCAAATCAGTCGTTGGATTTACTTTGTGTGCGTTTCCATAGACAAGTTGGAAATTCGATATTACTTTATATAGAAGATTTTAAGAGAGGTCCATGGTGTTGCAATTAATAAATTGTGTAATGGTGCCTCATCTTACGAAGAATTGTCCGTATTGCATGGAAAGCAAACAACGACTCAAAACTATAAAAATAAATCAGAGTATCTAGTCTCACCTTGTGTCCTGCCCTTGGGTATCTTTACTTAGCATGAAAATATAATTGTTTTGGTTGCTTAAGAATTAAATTTAATATAAAAATATATTAAAAGCATATAAATTCATACCTTGAACATATACTCCCTTGTCTGCATGTTCCTTCAAGTCTAACTTTCTCTTCACATCGGGACCCAACAGATCTCTAATTTCCTCATTGTAAATCTCAAGGTATGAAGCTAGGACAAGGTACTTAGTGCCTTCTGCCACAGAAACTGCTTCAAAAATATGCTCAAAGGCCCTTGGTATAATTCCCTTCTGTGAGGTAGGGTTTGTGACACCTTGCATTGTGAAACTCTTACCACACCCTGTCTGCCCATAAGCAAACACAGTACTATTGTAGCCTTCCAACACTCCCTGTGGACAAAACATAAGAATAATTTTCATTCCATGCATCCTGTTGTGTTATTATATACACTTCTTTACTAAGTTTGTCACAACACAACAATACAGTATTGAAGGCTAAATTAGCTTGTTAGTGCATTTTTTGGTGTCAAGTTCTCAGCCAAGCACTTCTTATTAAAATATATACATGTATTAGCATTGCAGTTCAGTAGTTTTAACTTAGTATTCATGTATTTATATATGCTGCTTGCTTGACTAGCATTTGTAATTTTTCATTTCATGCATCCTGTTGTGTTATTATTATATATAATTCTTTACTAAGTCCATTACAACACAACAATACAGTGTTCAAGGCTAAATTAGGTTCTTGCTTTATGATAAGTTAGTTTATACGTTGTGTTTTATAATACGATAATTGTCAAGTATCCAGACTCACTACACAATTCCAGTTCACTAGTGTGTAAACATTATGATCGTGTATTTGCCTGATGATGGCTATGAATACCCAAAACATGTAGCAAAATTAATTTAGCCTTGAATACTGTATTGTTGTGTTGTGATGGACTTAGTAAAGAATTGTACATAAGAATAAGACTGCAAGCATTATACCTCTAGTAAAACATATTGGAATTATCACAAACTGTTAAATGAAGAATGATTTTAAGCTGTTAAAATGAGAAAAACTTGTTAAAGAGAAGAAAGTGGTTTCAATGGCAGAGCATTTATATTAAATGTGTTAGCTCAGCAACATTTTTAAAAAGGAAATATAAGGGTTACTTTTGTGATTCTGTGATACTGCACATATTAGCAGGAGAAGAGATCAGATTATGCATCATCTGCCATCCCCATCCTCCCAATCATAGGCTTGATAGCCGCTTCCCTGTGGCTTATGTTGAACCTTTCTTGGCACAGGCAGGAATAGAGTATGGTAAAGGCATGAGGGAAAGAAAGAATGCATGACAGTACAAGCTGCTGCCTGCTCCCTATATTAGCCAGACGGGAGTTGTTTGATGCTTACAAAGCATGAAACCAACAGAAGCAGGCAGGCAGAAAAATTATGGCAAAACGCATATTGCTGCTTGAAAATATTATCATATTCTTCAATATTCACACTTTAATTTTTTAAGTATTTTTATGAGTACTTCCACACCCAAAAAGTTTTAGAAATTTTCAGCAGAGAAGGTCAAAGGATTTGGAAATATTTGATCAGAAAATGA